TCTCTATTACAACTGTAACCAGGTGTATTCAGACTGAAAAAAGCTCAAATGTTTGCATAAGATCAGAGAGGAATACATTTAAATCACCAAGAATTGTCTACCTGACATGATATGAAAATAGTGTTAAAAGGAAGAGCTATCCTCCAGGCACCAACTCATATGTTTACACTCCACCTCCAGGGTTCAATTAAAATACTTCAAAGTTCCCCCTGAGGTGGCTAGACAATTTCCCAGAGAGTATAATATTTTGATGTGAAAGATAACACACACTGAATTTTCTTTTTATGTAGTGCCATGACTATAAGTGTTACCATAAACCGCATGATCGATGAATGAACCAGAGACTTTGGAGAATTGGAGTTAGAGTTTTGTGTGTGTGTATGTAATCACCCAAAAACACAGACCTTGTTAAGGCAGCACTTGGCTATGGCCTGCAGCAGCTCATTGGTTTTCTCGGGCTCATGGCCAGCAACAATGCGTGCTGGCTTTGCCGCCAGGGGCTCGCCACTCACGAGCATCACGACATCTATTGCTTTCTGGAGGAAGACTATCTTTGAGTCCTTGTCCTACGAAGAAAAAAAGGTTCCGTGATGAATAGGAGAGGGCACGGGAGAAATACGAGAGGTTGTGGTTGTGAAAGCAAAGGAACTCCAGTGGGAGTTATGTTCCAACACAGTTTAGGATGATTAAACCCTTGAGATACATACTCTTGTCAAACAAAAGTTACTCCTAACATGCTACAATTATACATAGCGTAAACAGTCATGCATACTGCAAACTCGTTCCAACTAAATCCAGTCTGTCCCAACACCCCATTTCTGACTATAATTGACGATTGCGAATTTAACTTAACTCAGATTTGTCTCCTTTCTTGACCAGACCACTTAAACTAATGCTTTATATTTTACCTTGCAATGTGTAAATCTTCAAAATTATTTCCTTTCATTAACATTAAATCTAGCAACAATAAGAGCAAGGAAGAATAATGAGTAACCTGTTGGCTTTTGTAAGTCAGCAGGAAAGAGGAAAAAGAAAACCTGGATTTATAACAAGGAAACAAATATCTACTCCTCCTTTGATCTAACTCTTGTAATCTTGTATGCATGCACATAAAACAGAACATAGTCCAGACAAATGACCCGACTAAGCAGTGCTTCTCGTCTACCAGCCTGCTGCATCTGAGCGGCCTGCCAACTGTGAAACATAAGGACTTGTAGCTGGTGCAACCACCTGGCCCTTCTGTGTAACACCTGATAATAGGCTAGCCTCTGCAGTGTTGATCCCTTTACTTATGACATCTCTACTGAGCAACACGCACTTGCACAGATGCTCTCCAGACAATTAATGAAATACATATGCCTCATAAAAAGGATTGCTTAACACAAAAATCGTAGTGTAGCATTCTTACAAATGAGAATATGGGAGCTCGTGTCTGACAGGGATCGCAGTCGCCATGACTAACTACCATTTTGGGGTTACAGCATCGTTTTTCTCTCTTTGATTCATTCTGCCTGTCTACATTCTTACTTTAAAACCAGTGAAATATATTAAAAAAATACATCAAATGCAAGAGCCCAGCAGTTTCAGTAAGAAAGTAACTGATGGAACACAAATGTCATTTTTCAAACAAATGAACTTCACATCTACAGATTCAGCGATACTATGAAAGCTTTAACAATCAATATGTTTAAGAAAGCATAGCAGCTGATATATAAATGATGAATAAACATATTTGAGGGTGCTTTCTCTGCTCAATATACCGAGGCCCAAAAGAAACGATTTTAAATCTTAAACACAACCACAAATGAACATAATTCAATTACAGTAACTCGCCTGTTGTAAGGCGTCCAGTTTCACACACTAACATTTAGCCCAGCGTCTTCCTACCCAGTACTGATTTGGGGTCAGCTCTAAAACAGCAGACTTGAGTTCTGACACCTTGGCAGGTCTTCTTAATCACGTCCTGCCAGATCCTCTCACCCAGTGTGTGACACAGGCAGCGTGTAGAGTTACACACACACACACACAGAGAGACATCTTCAGACTGTCCCAGTGATCTCATACAAAAAGTAAGGCTGCTGCTCAGGACATAAAAACATATTCTGTGCACAAAGAAGCATAGACAAATGAGGGGAATCCTTTTAAACAAAGAACGGTGATATCGGTGGTCAACTCACCTTAACATTATCTGACTTCATTTCATTTTCTCCGTAGAGACCTTTCATAAAACCTGTGGTCCGTATGACCTGAAAGAGGTGAGAGAGAAAAGGTTTCACATGAGTTGTCAGACAGTTAAAATATTAGGAGTTTCATATACCTTAAACTTACCACAACTTCCGTTTTAAAGCGGCTATCTGTGGTGAAAAAGTCACTTGTTGAATCAGAGGAAAGGAGTCACACATGCCGACACGCTTCCCCCGTATAAAATATAAATGAATCTACAGTGTAATATTAGACTACTCAACAAGACGAGAATGGAAATTAGATCTAACATCAGTTTAGAAAAGCGAAAGAGATTTTACCATGCTTGACGCCTCGTGTCAAAGCATAATGTTCTGTTGTGTATTACGAGTCAGTAAGGAGAAATGTCAAAAACTACGGGTTCAGTAATTTAACTAGTAACAAAACAGAGCCTCCCCTGGAAAACAAACAAGATAAATAAGATAAAAAGCTGCTAAACTGATCCCAAACATCGTGCTGCTGCTGACCCAGTTCAGTTCAGTTCAACATGTTTATTATCATATGCAACAAAAGAAAGCAAGTTTTCCTCCTTTCCTGTGCAATGAAATTCTTTCTCTGCTGTCCACCCTGACACGACGCATTAAACACAGTATCATACACAAAAATAATAAATACAATATTACCCAATAACAGAATAGTACGTTTATTAATAGAAGTAATTACAACAAGTACAGTAGTAAAAAAACAAAAACTCAATATGACAGTCATTTTAAAAGTGTCTGATGTGCAGTGTGTAATGAAAGCTATGGGATGTGCAGGTTTTATTCATCCTAACTAACATACAGACGTGCCTTAATTCTTGTTGATTGTTTATTTTAGGTCTTGTTGATTGTTGATTGTTTATTTTAGGTCTTGTTGATTGTTTATTTTAGGT